CTCCCTCTACCTGTGTTGCTATCACAGCCTCTCTGTGGTTTGTTTCCATAGCCGTGCTCTGTATGCAGCTGAGTAGAGCCACTGAAACTGCTGTTTTTATCATCTACATCAGTGAATTAAGCATTTATTTCAACCAAACCAGAGTTATAGTTGAACAGTGGAAAGACTAACAAAGACAGCTGGTGCATTTTATTTTGTTTCTGTCTGAAGTATGGATGTTACAATGATATGCGAGGTAAAATTACAGTTTTTATGTATTGAGTCTCTTGTAGAGTGATAGTGATATTACGGCGGATCCTGTTCATAATGTTGTCAGACACTTAGAATAACAATCTGAGCCTGTCAGAGGCAAAAACAACAACTTTTAGCGGACAGACTTTGACGGTGCATGCCCAAGGATAAATGTTATCTTAGGTGCGGCCATTGCAGCCCTTTTAAAAATGTCCAATTCAGTGAATTGACCAAACCAGCATTGATGATTGTTGGAAAAATTAATAAAGTTGATTTTGGCGAGTTTCATTTTATTTCTGTCCCATTGTTTTGGTCTGAGGTTCAGGTAGTGCGACATCCAGTGGCAAGTGAATTCTGTATATACAACCTTTAACTTAGAGTAGTGTTTAAACAAAGAAATATGAGTGAAATTTATGATCTTGTGTATCATCCTCTTTTACATGCTGGAGCAAAATTTCTTTGGATGTTACACCTTAGGTATTCCACATAAATCTACCAAGGGTTGTTCATATAAAAAAAAAGTACTGTATTCATTCACCCATTTCCACTCTTTTGATTTGGACTAGGGCTATAATATTTGGCATATGATAGAATGATTAATAAAGTTTTCAAGAATTGGCGGTTTTTTTTTGCTGACCACTAACTGTGGTACGTTACCTGTCACTGCGCTCTAGCCAAACTCCGTCTTTGGTCCAGCTAATTATGGGAGGCGGGAAGCCATTTGCAGAACAGAGCACAGTCAGCGATCGGGTGGTGTTGGTGACGAGGGCGCTCTGTCCGACGCTGATGTTGATGTTCTTCTGAAACATCAGCTGGGGGGTCTGCTGCTGTCTGATTATCACTGGCCTTTTTGCAACTCTATCCATTGAAAAGCGCTCGGACCAGTTGGGCAGTATGTCTGTAGGACAAAGCAGACACAAACGTAAGTGTTACTCCGAGAATTGTGACTAACACCAGTATACAGATCTGCCAATATCATGCACAGATGTAAAAGTTATCCTATTTGAGTGAAAGTAGTTTCAAAACTCTCAAAATCTGTTTTTCACTAAAGAATTAGACTTGGATCCAGTATGCCTTCTGTTAGGAATGCCACACCCACAAATCAAGGGGAACTTGCACATGAAAGATGCTTAATGTTAATGTTGCAGATAAAAGCAAATTGCCAAAATGGATTTCAAATAGGCCACCAACTGTTATAGATTGGCATAAGCTAATATTTGATCTTTTACCCATGGAATATCTGACCTACTGGTCTAGAGGTATAATTGGTTAATGTTTTTATTCATGATCTCCATTTCTTGATTATGTAGGACCTAGAATGTCTAATATATTATGGAATGTGCTTCCTAGACCTAGGAATGATGGCTGGATGTTGAGTGGAATCTTTGTTGTCTGTATGTAATGTAATAATGTAATCTCTAATGTAAAATCGTTTACATTTCTCAACCAATTCCATTGAGTTGAGATAAAAGATTGAATTGGAAAAAACATATTGAGCTTGTGTGCAAGAGGCCCATTAGGATGGTACGTTGAGAAAAGTTTGTTCTTTGATCAATCCTTCTTCTCATCTAACTTTGTATTATAGTTGAATTATTTTCCATTTTAAGAGACAAGATTTGTCTGCACTTCTGTTTAGAAAATACTCATTGCTGTCAGGCAACATCTCCACATACATACATACATTTCATAATTTTATTTTATCTTTTTATTTTTAACTCCTATTCAACTAGACGAAAGAATGATTTGCATTTACCCTACTGTCATACAACAAGACATACATTTTTTATCAGATTTAGAGGTCCACAGTTATGGAATTCATTGAATATAACATCAAAATCATTTTCTGTTTGCCAGCCTTTGAGATGCAACACACTTTGCAGCATAGGCAGCTGGGGCTATATTTACCTTCCACTTGTCCTCCTCCTGCTGTAGTCCTGGTCCAGAGCTGGGCAGCAGACATGTGGGTCAGCAGTGAGGAGATGATCTCTGAGGCCTGCTCCTGCTGGATTTCCTCTCTGTCGGCCTGCAGCGTGATATTAATCAGCCTCTCCTCCACCCATGGCTGCAGCGAGATCTCCTGGACACTGGGGGGCTGCAACGACACACGAATTGGAGACGAGCGCCAATCGTCTGAGTAGTGCCAATGACAGCTGGGTAGCACAATCTCCCATTTGGGACTAGGACTGGCAGTAGATGCTCTGCCAGTTGACCTGCTGTCTCTACCTATTAGCTGGAGAGTGAAGATGTCTGAGGCAGGTCCAGCAACACACTTGTACACCCCGATGTCCTCTGCCCTTACAAAGTTGATCTTCAGAGAGGCAGATTTGGTGACAACCAGGCGTTTGGAATTGAGCAAGGGGCGGCCGTCTTTCATCCAGCGGATGTACTCTTTTGGGAAACTTCTCACAGGGCATTTGATAACCAGTGAGGTGTTGGGTAATAGGTAGGCGTGACCTCCGATGGTCAGGTGCAGGCGTTTCTCGTTGCGGGTTTGAATGTAGATATGGTGCTGACTCATGAGTGCCGGACACTGTTTAACCCGGTGGTCATAGCCTTTGGCATTTGCTGGATGAGTAATGCGAGTGGGTGTTTTCAGCAGACAACAGTGACAGAAGAAAGTTCACAAAAGTACACAGACAGACAAAAGACATCATTATGTCAGCATAAAAACATGAGTGATCAGCCTTTGTTGAAAATGTAGGTTACCTTCTAATACTATAATTTGTTTATTATTGTGCCTTGAAAAGCACACTACTATTCTTCCTCGGGCTTATTATGCTATGACTTTTCTAAGCGTTTCGCCAAACGGTGTTGCCAATAAATCGCCAAAAACCGGGCCAAAAAAATGAATGGGTGTGTATTGGAAAGAATGTTCAACTGACAATAACTGCCGTTTCATTTAGAGTCGAGCGAGAGGGGAAAATTTTGTCGAAAAATAAATTTGTAAACTGCCCTCAAGGCCACAAATGTCTTCTACAGAAATAATTTATAGATAGAACATAGTAAAATCCGTTGGGGTGGTAGTGATACCACTGCTGAAGCTGTCAGACAAATAGTCTTGGGGGAAAGGCACCTGCTGCGGCCAGCACACCCTCCTACAGCCCCATCTACTCCCATGTTAAATGTAGAGGAGACATTTTGAAAGAAGCTCGTTGAACTCTTCTTCTCTTTGTCCCAAGGTCACATTTTTTAACTTTAGCCACTGAACTTGGCAGTCCTATGGTCCAACAAGATGACCATGCTTACGGTCTTTTCAGTTTTCATTTCGGTCGTTCCTGGCCAATGGTTCGAGGGGATTCATTTTTAATGTTTCTGTCTCTCTCAAGAGTTAGAGAGCAGAGCAGAGGAGAGCGCAGCTGCCCTGGTTGCCACGTCAACCAAAGCCTGCCTGTGAACACACACATACACATAGCTAACGTTAGCTACAGAGGAGTATTAAGGTATTAATAAGCTAGTGTTAGCTAGCTGGCTAGCTAAAGATAATTAAGAGGGTGGCTA